AAACAAAACCGGCCACAAATGAGGTGGTATCGCGCACCGAGGTTCCATTACTATCAACATTTTTAAACCATAGTCTTCTTATTGTTTTTTCCTATGATCTTTTTGTCTAAGTCTAGGAGAATAACCAGGGATGGTCTAATTTCTCTTATTTTCTTTAATAACCTCAAACGTTTTTATCTTAAAGTTATAAAAATTAAATTGGAAATTCTCACAATAAGATCTATTATTTCATTTGAGATGTGATGATTATATTAATATAAAGATTAATAAGATATTTTTGAAATTAAAAATGCCTGCATGTTTGTAATTCAGATGTATATTCAATTTCAACTTATTCCATCTGAGAAAACAAACAATCAAATAATCCTTTAAAAATACTGTTTTTCCTTTTAAGGTTCAAAACAGTAAAAAGATCTAAATGTAATAAAAAATATACATTCCATTTGCAAGCTTGCCCAGGGCGCAAAAGATTACCGAAAACTGTAATGAATTAAACATTTTTCAGGGTCATACCTATACTTTCCGAATCTTTGGTCATGATAATCATCCAAGGTGATGGTAGTGGACAACACCTTGATGCTTATACTGAGTGTCAAACTAGCCATCTCCAACATCTTGTTTATGATCATTTGGTGTTCCATTGAGTGAGAAAACATATGAAGACGGCTGTAGCCCCCCACTGCCAATACAAAACCTCCAGGAACATCTCTTACCTGGTAAATCACAAACACTTCTTTCAATAGTATGTGGAATAGAAAAATATGTCAAATTAATTCTTATTATTCTGGTTGCACTGTCATAATATTTAAATTTATTAGACATGAGTTTGTTTTTATTTACAAAATTGAAATTCATAAGTTATTTGTTTAGGGTCTCTAGTATTAGTAATATTAACTCTATATTTTTACTTTAAAGTTAATATCACTCAAATTCCAAATTAAGTAATTAATAAAGGACTTTTATTATAGAAATCTAAAACAATGAAGGTAAAACCAATACAGAAATGTTTCTACATTGACTCGAACAAAACCTCTAAGACACATTCTGTTGTTCATATATCTACAATCATTTATTACAATACACTTTGAAGACATTTTTGAGTTCTTTAAATTTTGTACAAGTCTGCATTTGTTTAAGCCCTTATCAGCCAGTTCAAAAGAGCTTAAAGGTGTCATTAAACTTTAATGGATGTTTATGCAACTGACCATATGTGTTTAAATAGGTGTTAATATAATACAATAACAAACTTGATTTAAATTAGATTATAATTTATTATACTTAAAGCAAGCATTTCCCAACAAAAAAACAAAATATATGAGGAATTCCTAATAACAAAATATATGAGGAATTGTCTTAAAACCTAAAATTAAGTATTAATTTTTCTAATAAAAAATATCATACCTGCAGAATGCCCTGGATGTCACAATATGGATAAATAGCTAATATAGTATGAGTGGATGGATCAAGTTGTTCCAATGCACATGGTCCAACCTCCAGCACTACTGGCAACCTTGTACCACTCCAGTGATGCTTGTAAGCTTGATATCTCTACAAAAAAGTTTTTTCCTTAATTCAAGTTTCTAAAAATTTTATATAATTTGTTGGTTGAAATTAGAAGAAAAATCAATGTACTCACAAAAACATCCTTTGGTTTCTCAGCAAATAAATGCCTGTATTTAAAAGCCTCTGTTAATATAAGACATTTGTATTCAGACGAAAATTTCATAGAGTCTACTTTTTTCTCCTTTTTCATAACAAGTGTGAAGTCATGGTTTGCAGCAGAATTGGAGTGCTTTGATGAGGCAACTGTTATGACATCAGAGTAAAGCCACTTATTTGTCACCTCCAAACGATCTGGATTATAAGTGGTAATACCGTGGGTGCCCACAGAAAATACCCTCTTATATTTCCCCTTCCAAGCATGTTTAGTAACGAGAAATGATGCCACATCTTGGTTATCCTTTAAAGGAATCATCTTAACATTGCCTGAAAGTAAACAATAGTATGAAATAGTGTTCGCTAGATATGAAAACGCGGAAAGTGTAAGTTACCTCTACTTAAAAACTTGGTTACCAACAAAGCGAATGAAAAAAATACTTTAAAAAACTATTTTAATAGATGTAAAACGATAGCTACAAATAGCACCACAGCTATGTAACAAAGATTCAACAGTAATATCAATACGATCCTCCCCTTTGTAAATAGTAACAAGGCGATGAGGACGTGTAAACAAGGATTCGAAGGTAATTTTTTTCATCACTGCAGGTAATATATCGCAAAATTAACACTCACAATTTGTTCAATTGTTGATAAACTAATCTGGTTTTAGCTAATATCGAGCAGAAGCCACATAATAAACAAAATAATCGTAAAATTTCAAGTCAAGCACAAGAACAGACGGTGAACAGTCCAATCATTCATTTGACAGTTGAAAATGTTGCCAGCTAAAAACGAAACTATGAAATTATCTATTCTGATACCCACAGACTAGTACTATTACTTTATTAGTAGTTTCGTTCAAGGATTACTAGAACATACATTAAATAAGATGTTCCAACATCATTACGATGCATCCATCATTATATACAGCCTAAATATGATGGTGAAAAGGCGTTATTAAAATTAAGACTGGTGACGACTACAAGCGCGCTAAGTTAAGGCGGAAACGCCTCTTCATAGAAATTCACCATAGCTCGGGTCAAGTAAGTTCATTGTGATGAGTATATAACTAATGAAAGTCTTTTCATAATAAAATAAGTTAATTGTTAAAGTGAATTATTCTAGTAGCCATCAATGTCTATCTGTAAGACGACCGAAATGTATACCTTTATAGTCAGTTTTTGGGTATGCCAGACCCGCGTCGGCTACAAAGTGGTAGTCTTCAATCAGGATCTTTCAATGTTTCACACGCCCCCTCGTAGCAGAATAATGGTCAACCCTCTCAGTACCGTACGAAAAGAAAGTCATACGAAGAACAACGTCGACGTCCAGCCCCAAATAGAAAATTACAGTGATGGTAACATGAAAATCTTAAATAAAACAGCTTCATTTTAATCCTCGCAACAATCTTTAAAAGCGAAAAGCAAACCGTCCGCGATTTTGGGCTTAAAAAATAATTTGAATGAGAAGCTGCGAAGGAAAAAGCTCGTATAGAAATTGACCTCATTTAAAAGAAGTTTGTGGCAGATCTAGCTGCTATTGATGATAATAACAGTACAAACGCATCAGAGTGCAATAGTCAGTGAGCTGAAGAGACACAGAACAATAAAAGGCTCAGCGTCTCCACCGCCGCATGGCGACTGCACTTATGGTCCGTCAGCTGTTGGTCAGTGCATTAAAGAATTCACCACTTCTGCATCCACTAGCCAGAACGCTTACTTGCTCAGCCGTATTAGCACACCGAGAGAGCTCCCTGTGTTTATTGGTTACCCTATGGAGTAGCTGTCATTAAAAAATGCTTATGAAGAGTCTACAGCTAACTTAAGTGTAACTTTAGTGAAAAAGACAACCTGTGGAGATTGAGGAAAAAAAATAAAGAATTATATGGTTTCTGTGCAAAAGCGCGTAGTGTCCACTGGGCATTAAAGTGGTAAACATGCTGCTAGCTAAATTGCCCACAGTTTTGTTGTCAGAGTGGACAGACTATAGTTATTCACTTATAGCTAAACGTGAGAAACCTAGATTTAGTATTGTCCGATTTTTTAAGTATGGAAGCTCTTAAAGCGGCGACATGTAGTGCAAACTTAATGAACGTTCGGTTGGACAATAAGTTCAGATATAATACAAATAACTCTGGGTGCAAACAAAACTGCAACCTGACAGGCTACACAAAATTTGGAGTGTTTACTTTGATGGCCTTGAATTGACCGCAGTTGATGACGCACAAACCGATATATTTTGCCTATCAACAAATTCTATATAGGCTTTGCATCTTTGTAATAGGGTATTTGGCACTTTTTTGAAAACTATTTTAAATAGTTGTTTGATACATTATAAACATACTGTTAATATATTTCATGAGAATCTGTTCTATTTTCGCGCAAAAAACTGTTCTATTTAATGGTGCTACTCACTAGGTATTATAACGTTACACGCCAGTAATCATGACAAAGCGACATAACCTATTTATCAATTATTTATTACGATAGCAAACTACAGGGCGTTTTCGTCATTTATTAAAATTCTAAAAATATTGCATTTCATTTACATTATTTTACTTAAGCTAAGCATGTTCTGTCTGCAGATTCTATGCAATAAACGTCTGTTGCTCGCTTAATCTTCTTCTTCTTCTTTTTAACTAATGGCTTATCTGCGCATTTCGCACAATTCTGCCAATGTCAAGTAAATAAATTAATTTTTACATATAAAATGAAAATGAAACGAATGAATGAATGTATTTTCAGGAACCTGACCCTCGCTTCTTCTTCTTTTATTAATGGCTTATCTGCACATTTCGCACGATTCTGCCAATGTCAAGTAAATAAATTAGTTTCTACATGTAAAATGAAAATGAAATGAATCGACCCTCGCTTAATCTTCTTCTTCTTCTTTTTTAATTAATTAATGGCTTATTTGCGCATTTCGCACAATTCTGCCAATGTCAAGTGAATAAATAAATTTCTACATGTAAATGAAAATGAAATGAATGAAAGATGGCGAATCCCTCGCTTAATCAATCGTCATTAATAGAGCTGTCAATGTCAATGTCAGATACCCGGATACACGCAGTATTTATTTCTTGGTCTGTGCGGATACGTTCAAAAAGTTGTGAAAAAGTTCTTAAAATAGTTACGTTGTTAGATACTGTTTTATTTTCGTTATTTATTGAGATGACTTAGTAAACTGACTGAGGCAATTCTGTAATATTTGTCGTATAAGACATCGAATATTTTTATTAATAAGGTTCCTATTTTCTTTCTAAATATTATTTTTAAGATTTTTTATACTGATTATATTTTTTACACGGCTTCGGAACGCGACTTCAATCAAATAGTCTGTGTATCAAATTGCCGCATGCGGCTGTTATTTGCAACGTTGGCCTTTATTTTCTCATAAAAGTTTCGTCAGCCACGTATTGACCACCATGGTGCTCGACTTGGACTTATTTCGGGCTGACAAAGATGGTGACCCAGACAAAATTCGCGAAAATCAACGTAAACGATTCAAAGATGTTGGTCTGGTGGATACTGTTGTGGAACAGGATACACTTTGGAGACGATTACGCCACGATGCTGACAACCTGAACAAACTTAAAAATGTTTGCAGCAAAGAGATAGGACTAAAAATGAAAGCCAAGGATCCAGTAGGTCCAGAAGATCAGCCAGTACCAACCGAACTAGCCGATAACCTGGTTAATTTGACAGGCGACCAGCTGAAACCCCTCACTGTTAATCAAATCAAAAAAGTCAGTATAGGAACGAGCTTGATTGTAAAGTTCAATTCTATTTTATGTCATCATTACCAGTTTAGTTTACAGTGATTTGTGAAAATTAACATTTATCAAAATCCATATTTGCCAGCAATTTTTTTTTAAATATCTTTCTAACTCTTTATACTCAATCACTTGTGTAGGCAGAGATGATTAAGTGCCTCAAGCCCTACTCTAACATTTGTATAACAGTTAATATTCTGCTTTTACTAAACATAACTTCTAACATTAACTTTTTTCTGTAACATATCTTCTACCTTAGCTTTTCTAAGTTCTATTTAAATTTCTACTTAAATTGTATGTTTGTGCAGTGCATATATATGTTTTATACTAAAAGTCATAGCAGTACCTACTCTTTAGTCAGAACATTAAATATTACACTACTTTGTAAAATAAAGAATCAATAAGTGTTAACTGTATTTTTGTATCACAGGTACGTGTTTTGATTGATGAAGCTATTACAAAAAATGAGCAAAGTTTACTGACAGCTGAGAAAGCTCGCTCAGCTGCTCTTAGAGAGGTCGGAAATCATTTACATGCCTCGGTACCAGTGGATGATGATGAGGACCATAATGCTGTAGAGAGAACATTTGGGGATTGTACCTTCAGAAATAAATATTCTCACGTAGATCTGATATGTATGATTGATGGTGAGTAACATTAACTTACCTTTCATCCATCTTTACCTTGATTAGGAATCCCTTGAAGGGATTGATTTTTAGTATTAGCTGTAAAATTTATGTAAAAATATCTGCTTGTTGAAATAAAGAAAATACATTTTGTAATTGATTTAGTACCACAATGTAGGCTATATATAAGTCATTGGGTAAACTGCTTTTTAAACTTTAATATTTATTAATATCCATCTGAGTAAATAGTTGCTTATACTCTGTACATTGAAGGTGTCATGAGTTATTGTTATTCATTAAATTCTATTATGTTAGATCAACTATGTGTAAGAATTCACATTTCAATTAATCTTATTGATTTACAATAAATCATATTTCGTAAAATTCAATTGAGGTATTTTATTGATAGTCTAGTAGAGAAAATTTGAATAAATTTTTTTGTTAAAATGTTATTTATTAAATAACAGGAATGGACGGTGAGAGGGGAGCAGCTGTCGCAGGCGGTCGTGGCTACTACCTTAAAGGACCTGCAGTATTTTTAGAGCAAGCTCTAGTACAGTTGTCCCTTAGGATTCTCTTAAATAAAGGGTATACACCTTTATATACTCCTTTCTTTATGCGCAAAGAGGTAAATATGAATTTAATTTAACTGTTTGATATAATAAACCTTAACATGTTACATATAAAATATAATTTTATTGTTATTTTTTAAAGTGTGCAAAAAATTTTCAGAAAGGAATTCCAAATAATTTAAGTATGATAAGATTATCAGCTAGTAGCACAATGCATAAAGATCCATTAAAATTTTCATTAGTTAAATGACATTATCCATACAATAATAAACATTTGTGCAAGTTAATGGACATTTGAGCAATTGACTGAAATAGTTATAAATAGATGTGATGTTTTAGGTGATGCAAGAAGTAGCACAATTAGCACAATTTGATGAAGAACTGTATAAAGTTGTTGGTAAAGGTTCAGAAAACAAAGGAGATAGTGCTGTTGAAGAAAAGTATTTAATTGCAACCTCTGAACAGCCAATTGCAGCCTTTCACAGGGATGAGTGGCTACCTGAATCTTCACTGCCAATCAGGTATTAATATCGATAAATTGTTTCTAAGCTTTATATGCAATATAAGAGGGTGGTTCTTTAGCCCACAACTTTCATTTTATGTCAAAATTGTGTGCATTAATTGCATTTGTATCTAACATATCACAAAAAATATCATGTGTTAGGACATGAAATAAGCACCATATTCTGATAATTGCTACTACAGTTTGAAATTTACTAAGTACAAATTAACTGTCTGGCTCAAAACTCCATACACCCCGCGCTACCCCGCACGACCTCCCGCCATCGCTATGACAATGCAGCAGCAATAGTTACATAAAATGAAATCAATATATTTCTGTAAAAAAGTTTCCACCTTTATAAGTATTGTTATTTTTTTAAATACACACCCTACACTCACTTCTGCTTACACTAGTATAATGTCTATTAAAACAATTTTTTTTTATTTGTAGATATGCAGGTCTGTCTACTTGTTTCCGACAAGAGGTAGGATCGCATGGTCGTGATACGCGTGGCATCTTCAGAGTACATCAGTTTGAGAAGGTGAAGTGTACGAATTGAAATTCCTCATAATTATAGACTAAGCTATATATTATTATAATACTATACTAGTACAGATCACCACTCATGAAAATTATAAGAGCTATTTTTGTTACCTAGTTTCTACACTAGATGGCGACAGATATGTAGAAAAAAGTGCAACAGCTTGCCTGGGTTTGTGCTTTGGAGAACACAATTCAAAATTATACACATAAATTTTCAATTCCTATAGTTGATACCTACCTACTAAGTAATATATGACCCAAAAAAAATATATTTTTAGTTCAAAGTGCCACCTAGCATTACAAAATCAACCTAAATATATGTGCTAAAAAGATATTCTAAGGAGTAGCTTTTACTATGTATTTTAAAAGGGCTTTTATAAATTAGTAAATTTTTTATATCAACTGAACAAATAAAATTTTCAAAATCAAAATATTAATTTCCAAGACTATTTCAATTTAATAAAATTTAATTCGTCTTGCAGTCGAGGCATAACAATGGCTGCTGCTGCCATTAGCAGAATGCCTCTGATGTATATGAATCCTTATTGATAAAACTAGACATAAAAATCTGAATTAGAGTGATTTATCAGGTAGAGCAATTTGTGCTCACGTCACCCCATGACGACGCATCTTGGAAGATGATGGACGAGATGATCGGCAATGCTGAGGAGTTCTGCAAGACGTTAGGGCTACCGTACCGGGTCGTGAACATCGTGTCAGGTGCGCTCAACCACGCTGCCGCCAAGAAACTTGACCTGGAGGCGTGGTTTCCTGCCTCGGGAGCGTTCCGTGAGCTCGTCTCCTGCAGCAACTGTCTGGAGTACCAAGCTAGGAGATTGCTAGTCAGGTACACAACATGGGACGTCAGCGGTGCATTTACCCTAATGCTACACTGCATTAGGGATGAAACGATATCACCTAGGTATCGATACTTTTACTCGATACCGTATCAGTCATGATGTATCCATTCCTACTTGTATTGAAAAAGTTCTAAAATGCCACACCATCTTCGTCATTTTTATAGATTTTAAAGCAGATTTGATACTATTGATTGCCAAAAGTAATACTTTGTTTACGGAAGAAAGAGAAGCAGATTCTGACATAAAAAGTGATGCATATAGTCGGGTATTGCTTCAAAATTTTGTTGGCACTGCATTTGGCATTGTAGACCTCCAACTACATAAAATTAATAGGGGTTGGCAATGCTTCATCATACGACAGGGACTCTGCGCCTGTGGGATTTTCTCGCGAGACAGACCTTAGACACCTTCCTTACTTCAGAGTAAACAGTCTTATACACGCGGCTTTTTTGACTCTCCTCAGTGATTGACCGACCAAGTACCCATACAAATACTAAAGTATTGATGCCAGTAGTACGTGGCATCGAAATAAAGTATAGAGTATTTGCTTGTATCATTTCATCCCTACACTGCATGATTCTGCACGTTTCTTACGCGTTTATTTTCTGTAATCAATAAAATTTGAAATAAATGTATTTATATTTGTATTATCATTATAAATAATGGTTGTTAAAAAAAAATATACTGTGGTTTATTATCATTACCATTTCAAATTCTCTAAGAAATGTCTGTAATATTTGTGTGCCTTGGGTGGGGGCGCTTACAGCTGTGATACAGTTCATACTCGTACTAAAACAGCTGTCAACGTAATTAAAATTCAATAAATAAAAACTAATTTATTATTTTTATATATTCAATAAAATATAAAAATAATAAATTATATTCAATAAAAACTAATTTATTATTTTTGTGCCAGCCAAATAGGATAAGAGAATTTTGTAATATGGAATTGTCAATAAATATTAATATTATTATTTTTGTGTGAATACATATACATATACACTTTGTATAGAACATAAATCATATAGTTCACATTAATATACTAAAATTAACATTTATATTACAAAACGAAATCCACAAAACGTACAGGACAGTGCAGTGTGAATGAGATCAAAAGGGCCATAGTTTTCATGTTGATTTATTCATATGGTCTATTTAGTTTTTCTTTAAATATCCAATGATAATGATAAGAATATTCCACTGATTATACTAGCCAAAAGTTTTTGTAAATTTTCTTATATGAGGCGCCAAAAACATTTGTACGTATCTCACAATAAATCATTGGCACCAGAATAAGTAAATAATAATAGAAAACATTTTGTTAATTTTTTCCTTAAATCTCAACGAATTTTTGTGTTTTGATTTGTCTGACGCAAGAATTATGAAGACAGCTGTCTCTTTGTTGTAAGAATAAGGCAATGGTCGACCATATTACGCTTTACTAAATATATGTATTGTGTTTATTTGTGGTTTTCTAATATATACATTATTAGGTATGGGCAGACAAAGAAAATGAATGCAGCCACAGAGTACGTGCACATGTTGAATGCGACCATGTGCGCCACTACGAGGGTGATCTGTGCGATTCTAGAAGTACACCAGACCGAAGAGGGCATTAAGGTAAATATTAGGTGCACGAAAAAAATATTTGAAAACACTAGATAATAGTGAATTTAGATTAGACGTATGTTATAGGAAAATATTTGGTTACTTTTCAATGCTTGACTATAATTTATCTACTTTAATTTATCTATTATCGACTCGCAATGTACTGTAACCTGATGTTTCGGGTTCAAAACCTAATTGGGTTTATGTGAAAAACAAAACTTTTTTATTTCAAAAATTTCATGAGCTTAACTACGAACAGGTTAAAGCTTAAAATCGATTGGAGAAAAAAAATTAGCCTAATTGTCCTAAAGTGCTGTCGACTGTACACAACGTACGCTTTACTAAAAACCTGGAAATTTTATACACAGGTTCCCGAAGCACTAAAACCATGGATGCCTGAGCGATACCAAGAGTACATTCCGTTTGTAAAACCAGCACCCATCGACCTCGAAGCTGCCGCAGCAGCCAAGAAAGGAAAGAAGCAAAACGAAAAGAAATAGTGCCTATGCCAACTGTATTCCCGCCAGAAATGCATTATTTATTTTAACATTACATTGCTAATAAACATATTTATTTATATAATATGATTGTATTAAAATGGGATCACTGAAGTATGTGTTTAATTAAATATTTATAATATTACTGAGTCATATTATCACAGTAGTCAGCATGTCAGCAATCCATCCATATCCAAATACATAACATAATGTAATGCAAGAATATTGATTCTTCTAGAGATTCTCTCATTCATCATATTTTATTTATATATATTCAGTAGCTGTCAATCTCAACGCAGTATACAATAGTCTTTTCGCTTCTTTGACGTTCATGACTGTACTAAAATTGTTCACAGATTTAATAAAAAAACTTGAGTCATTACATTTGTCATATTCGTTCAGGGCGAGTCACTAATAGAAAAATAAAATCTATAACTTGATGAACTTGAAATTGCTTACAGTTCCACTTTGTCCCTGCTACTCTGAGATGGAATTCGAAACCAAGACCTTGCCCAATAAAAAGTGCTTTTCAAGCTTCATTAAGAATATTTTCCAGAATGGCATTGTGAGTGAGAAGTTGATAAAAAATAAAAAACCTATAACTTTATATTCGTTTACTAGTGGACGCCCGCGACTTCGTCCGCGTGGAAGTCGGTATCCCGTGGGAGTGAGAAGTTTTCCCAGTAAAAAGTACCCTATGTGTTATTCTGATGTATAACCTATATTGCTGTAAAGTTTTATCCAAATCCGTCCAGTAGTTTTTTCGTGAAAGAGTAACAAACATCCATACATCCATACTTACAAACTTTCGCCTTTATAATATTAATAGGATTGTGACAAATCTATCTGATGTGACACATTTATAAAACTTACTCTAAACTCTCAAAATGAATGCAGGATAAGATAGATAAGTTACATATTCATTTTGATAACATTGTTTAATGGGCTATTTACATTTACAACACTTTCCTCATAAGATTGCATAACATTTAAGTTCATTATTGTATGAGTCTTTACTGTATTTAATTTTCCTTCTATTTCAAATTCCAATACAACACATACATACATTTACACATGTAATTTAACAAATATATAAAATAATTATTATTATCCTAAAATGAATGATTATCTATTCAAACATGTACATTACACTAATTGGGCAATTTAGACCTAATATGTAACCAAGTAGCACATAATTTGAAAACAATCACATCATCACCAGCCCTTTTACGTCCCCACTGCAGGGGCTCAGGCCTTCCTTATGGATGGTTAAGGAGGATCTTTCAATTTGGTTGAAAACAATATTGAAATGAAATTGCAGATTGGTAGACCAGCTGACCATTTAAGTTTTAAGTATCAACATTTAAAAAGACTATGCAGAAACATACAAATATATTTGCCTAAGCATTGCTAGGCATTGAAATCCCAAATGGCCAAACAAAAAGGGGCCTATAGTCAAAAATATTTCATCTGTGCTACATGGGTGTTCTAGCATTTTTACACAAAACAAGACCCAAATTTAATGAGATTTTTCTTTCGAAAGAAATAAGACAATACTTTTACAGTCAAGAGTCAAACATTAGGTGAAGGAGAAAATAAAAACAAATAACCATCTCTGATATCATGAGCTTGTCACTGTGGATGTTAATACTACACCTTTCTGAAAGTTCAGTCAGTTAATATCCAAAGTAATTGGAATTTTTGGCAACACAAGTTGATTCAAGACTTTGGCCCACTTATCTTATAATTGGACATCACATTTGATGGTGATTGTACATAAACATACTTGAAATTATATTCTTTATATTGCATAGACATAAACGTTACTAAATATGTATTATTGAAAGAATTTTGTTTATACATACAGGTTGTAAGGCAATTTTATAAACAATTCATCAAATTGCACAATAATTTTATGATATATTTTTTGGGTAATTGAGGGTCTGCTGCCTGGCACTACTCACTGATCACAACTAGTATTATTTCCCATTCTTTAGACATAGTGTGAATATTTTTCTACTACAATAAATATTATTTTGATGAATATGTGTTATAATTGTTATCAGCAACATATGAATTGTTATTATATTAAAAGCAAAAATATGGTAAGTATTTATTATTTTTGAACACCTATTCAAGAATACCAGTTCTCTGTATTCTAAGACATAAAGTCAATTTTGTGTCTTTACCTCCACACTGATTCCTTGCAAAAACAGAGAATAATCAATCCCATGGGATATAATACACAGAATTGAATATGAACTAGTACTTTATAATAATAATTAGATTTTGGAATTCAAAAAGTTAAAAATAAGAAATCAGTAATCAGAGTATGGAATCCGGTACAGCGCCCCTAGCGGTAACTACCAAGAACTACAAATCTCCATAGAAATTCTTAATGCGCTCACTAGTGAACGCGTTAGCGTAAAAATTACACTTACCACTCGGTTACATTGAAATACATTTCAATAAAATAAACATCTCTGTCCACCTCCAAATGTTATGATATAGCATCAATACAATATATAGTTTATATAAGAGCTACAATAATTACTCCTTTATAAGACATAAAAAGCCAGTGATAAAAATAAACTAAATTATGACTTTTAATAAAAAGCAATACAACATTTATTACAAGCCGCAATCAACATTAACTTTATATGATATCGCATGATTCCTCAATTTCTTGTTCAATAATGTATTAGTATACAGTCATCGATTACTAGCATGCCAGTTGAGCTTTCTGTCTACATTTATGCATCAATGCACGCAGAGTGAATTGCTTGCGAGCCAATGTACGTACTTGTTTCAAAAAAGTATCCAAATCAATAACTTCTTTGCGTAGAGCTTCACCCATATAATATATAGCATCTTCCAAAGTAGCTTCTTCGGCAAAAGCATTTAGAAGTTGAGAGTACAATGGTGCAGTGGTCACCACTGCCTCATCTACATCAATGCCTTCTTGTTCTGCCAAACGTTCCACAGAAGCTTGGAGTTCTTTCTCTTTTTCCTGTAGTACAGCTACATTTTTATCTAATTCAGATCGTTCTCTATCTAATCTAGACAATATATCTTCGAGTCTAGCCTTTCCTTCTCTTAGTTCCTGTTGTGTCCGACGTAGAGTTTCAAGTTCTGCTTGTGACTGTTGAGACTGTTCATTTAGTCTTCTTCGCATCTTGTCTATAACAGCTGACAGCAAAGAGGCTTTAATGTGTTCTTCTGTTATAGTACCACCAGAAGTATTTTGATCAGCACCATAGGTAGAAACTGGAGGATATGGAGTTGTTGTTGGGCCTGGTAGAGGAAATGAACTGCCATTAGTATTAACTGAACCTGGGTATGGAGCGCCATAGCCAGGGTAAGGTAAGTTTGAGGTTGTAGGATAAGGTGTTCCAGTAGGAAAACCTGGCTGAGTTGAAACTTGAGGAAATGGGTAACCAGAAGGTTGCGGCATAAATGAGTTCACAGGATACGGAGGTCTACCTTCATTTCGTGGCTTTGAATATACTGGTGGTATTTCGCCAAATGCAGTAATCATGCAGTGAATAAGTTTCTGAAGTGTAGAATTTGAATTCCACTCATGTAAATATGGCAAGTAAACTTTTCCATTGCTATCTACATATTTAGAAACTTTGATAGACATATCTGATGTAGGTTTGACGAAACACAAAGGGGCGTTTTGGGGATGCGTGTCCATAAGCCAAATACAAACAGGAATATTGTAATATACTCCTTTATAATTAACTGGGATCGTTCCTTCCATATTGAGCAAATCTTTGCGGACTCCATTGTTAAACACGAAGATTTCCAAACGATAAGTCAAACTTTTGTACACTTGGATTAAATTTATCACTTCCCTTGAGGTGTAGTCTCGATGTTTGTACTTAGCCAAATACTGCTTCAGTATCGCTTCATCGTTTGCCATTGTAATAAAATGCAACTTAAAGTGAGTCAGTCCGATTATTTATGTACCACTCAAGAACATCACATCACAATAATTACGAACTCAATCAATTAAAGAAATGTCGAAATGTCTTTCTTTGAGTAAAGTCAAAGAGAACAGTAATAATAGTTATCCACAGACTAATAAGGAGATACACACAGACATGGACCAAGTCCAACTTACCTACCACAAAAGCGTCGATTTCACTACCCAATCTATCGGGCACGATCCATCGGGTACACTGTAAATTGGGAAGTCTAATCGCAGTTAGAGAGTTAGGGTCCCGATATCGGGTGATTGTGAGCGTCCGACCGCCCGATCTCACTAGTTGGTGCGTTAGGGCCGATTTATCGGGCAATGTGATCGCTGTTAGGGTGTTAGAGCGCTCAATAGGGTTCGAAGTATCGGCTTCTGGTATCGATACCGAGTACTCATGTGGTATCGAGGGTCATGGTATCGATACTATAAAAGTATCACTCCCAAAGTATCGATACTACACAGTATCGAGTATTTATTGACATCATTAAAGAAGGCTAATCCTAAAAAAAAAACAATCTACCAGACGGACAGACAAACAAATATTTGTAAAATGTGTATGAAAAATTGTTACAAAATATTTGTTTTTGGGAAACGTAAGAAAATTTAAAACAAATGTCTATAACGAAAATATAGTTTATTAAAAAAATCAATTGCCTTTGCCTTTCCATTTCAAAGTAAATGGAAGAAGAGAAAAAAGAAAAAAAAACCGATCCAATACTTCCATACATTTATACAATTCAGTCATACATTATTTTTATGGCAGCTAAACGGGTAAAAGTATAAAAATAAAAACCAAAGAGTAAAAGTATAAGATTTAAGTTGAAACGTCAAATGCAAACGCCTATAGTCTTAGAGTAAGTACTTATAGAGGGCTATTAGGGACAACAAATATATCATCAGTGTTACTAGATAGTTAAATGTTCCTCGATTATGGAGAGATATTTTGTTATTAGCAAAGGAGGAATAATTTAGTCAGCATAATATGTAGAAATGTTCAGAAACTATCTACTTTTCTGCGATCTGCGAAATTATAGCTGTAGTCAACCACGTATGATGTAACTTCCCATGGATGAAAGGATTAGTAATAGAGGAACTTTTTTTTTGTAGAAATATTGATACACTATCTATCATCTTAAATTAACTAGCACATTGAATCAATGGGCTTGGTTACTGAAGTTTTCGAAATAAAATAAAATTTTACTAAATTAGAATATGTTTAAAAAAGTCTAATTTAGACAAACAAAACTATTTTGAAAATTTAATTCAATCAAAATTTAAAAAAAAATGTATATAGACAATAAAGAAAACCGTTTAAAGGAGAATAACGTACCTATTCAATGATAAAATTATGTTTAGAAAGGCAAATAAGAAACGTTGTGATGATGTTAGGCTAACGTCAGTCCAGCAGCGCCACTGTATGTTTACTCAATAGCTGTTAGAAGACCATTTTTTAAAACCTTAGGTTATTTTAGAATGAAATAAAACATTGAAACACAGTAAGTGTCTCGAGGTGCAATACGTACTACACATCGTTGCGGCTTTTTTATTTTGTAAACATAATAAAGGTTACCAGTTCGTCGCGAAATAGTTTTTCAAGCTAATCTATAAATAAGTGCCTCCATAAGACGTAATAAAATCATAGAAAACAGTAGTGAATGTGATTTAAAAACTGAAAACAGTGTATTGTTAGTGGGGTATCTGTATTTTTTCTAACATTTTATCAAGATCGAACAAAGGATTTGTACTTTAACCGTGACGTTGCCTGACGAGTAATTGACTACAAGATCTTCATACAACAGAATGCTATTGTTATTTTAAATAAAGCGGTAAACTAGTTGCGTAGCCTGTTGGCGTCTATGTCAGATTAAGAATCGAGGCGAAACCGTCGGGGGCGAGTTCGAATCCGAGTCTACAATAATATTTTATTTTTGTTTTTTGTGTTGTTCTTCTTGTTACTTTTTTATTGTTTTAACTGGGAACTGGGAATAAAATAAATTGAATATTTTTAAGAATGGAAAGGAATAATAATAAGGGAGGTGTTGGAGAGAGGATGGCGTCAACATCATATAAAACACAAAACCCAATGGAGTTAACTTGGGGATGTTGCACAATGGATTTGGATGACAGCGCATTTCTTCAATGTGCTAAATGCAAGCATGCTTACCATACGGCTTGCTTACCTGGCACTTATATAGATCCTGCTACTTCCGATGGTCTAATGAATTTTCTGTGCCCACTCTGCGATAAAAGGAAGCCGGGTAAAAACGACAACACCCCAATTCGTTTTAATTCAAACGCAATAATGACGAGATCTACTAAGCGACAAGCATTGAATTCCCCCCCAAATGAGAAACCAATAACGAATAGTGAAATGCAAGAAATCATTAAGAGTATGTTAATGGAGGTTCAGGTGTCTATGCGTAATATGATAACTAGTACATTGAATGAGGAATTTAAAACATTTACGGATGAATTAAAAGAAGTTAAAGAGTCGATGAACTTTATGAATATAAAATACGAAGAGGTCAGAAAAGAGCAAGCTGAAACTAAGGAAAGAATGAAGCTTTTGAAAAGTGAGAGTGACATAGCTAAAGCAAAATTGAAGGACCTTGAAAGTAGAGTAAATTATCTGGAACAAAATGCACGAGCAAACAATTTAGAAATTCAGTGTGTCCCTGAAAAGAAAGATGAAAATCTATTGAATATCATAGAAGAATTGGGCAAAACAATAAATTGTAAGGTCACCACTGAACAATTAGCTTATTTTACTCGAACTCCCAAATTGAATAAAGATAACGATCGTCCAAAATCAATAATAGTTCAATTCATAACACCTAAAAAGAAAGATGCCTTCTTGGCGGCAGCAATATCGTTTAACAAAGCTAATCCAAATAATAAATTAAACTCTTCTCATGCTGGAATACCGGGAAAAATGACAGCAATTTTTGTTACTGAACATCTATCTATGTCAAATAAAGCACTTCACGCGGCGGCCAGGCGTGCAGCAAAGGAGAAGAACTATAAATACGTATGGATTCGAAACTCACGTATTTTTATGAGAAAAACAGACAATTCACCGTACCTTATTATCAAAAGCATGGAGGCGTTGCAAAATTTGGATTAATTTGATATGTGTTAGATATTTATCTCTTATTACATTTTTGTCTTTATTTTTTAAGATTCTTGTTTATTAATATTTTCTATCAAAACGTTCGTGGGTTACGTACAAAAACTCACGATTTTCTAAAGTCAGTTTTATGTCAAAATTTTGATATTATTGTTTTAACCGAAACATGGCTTAATGACAGTATGATGGACAATGAATTGTTTGATGCTAGATATAACGTTTACAGACGGGATCGACAAATTACTAGTTTTCAAAATAAAAAAGATGGCGGGGGAGTGCTTGTGGCAGTGTTGAAATCAATAAAATCTGTTCGTAAATTAGAATGGGAAACTAATTGTGAGGATCTTTGGATTGAGCTGCATTTACAAATTTCTCATAATATTAAAAAAATTGCTCTTTGTGGGGTTTACTTGCCTCCACCTGTTAAGAAATTGTTACTTGACCATTTCATTGATGGTTGTAGTAAAATCATAAATAAGAAAATAGACGGTGTTTTGCTTATTGGAGACTTTAATGTAGCTAAAATCGATTGGAACTTGGTAAATGATTTATCGAACAGTTATACAGCATCGGGACTTAGTGAATCACTCATTGAATTTGTACTCATAAATAAATTTAATCAACTTAACAATTTTCACAATAAATCAGGTAATATTTTAGATCTAATTCTCACAAACTTGCCTGTGTCAGGTTGTAAGGTCACTAAATCTTGCGTCAAATTATGTAAAATAGATGAGTTACACCCCCCTCTGGAAATAATTATATCAAAAGATGCTGACACGGCGCTTTCATATAATCCCGCCAATAGAGTATATAATTTCCGCAAATCAAATTTTAATTCTATTCGTGAATCTCTAGCTAAATATGACTGGCATGAATTGCTTAGTGAGGCTCCTGATGTGAATGGAATGGTAAATATTTTCTATACAATCATAAATAGGGTAATCAGTCAATTTGTGCCTACCAAAAGGGCTTTTAGAGTTGCTACTATGCCACACTGGTTTAGTAGTGATGTTAGGGGAATATTGCAAGAAAAGGAAAAAATCAGGAAGCGTTATAATAAATATAAAAATCCACTTGACCGAGTCGAACTTGGAATCCTAAATAAGCGGGCTAAGATACTATTAAACTTGTGCTATAAAAAATATATTGATAATATGGAAAAGGGTATTATAACTAACCCGAGACTATTCTGGTCCTATGTTAAAGCAAAAAGAGGAAATAGAAGTAATTATCCACAAACAATAACTGATGGCAATATATCATCTAGCAATGGTTCAGAAATATGTGATATGTTTGCTTCATATTTTGAAAGAGTGTATAAAGTCTCTGGAAAGGCACAAATACCCAGCAATAATGAATATTTAAAAGTAATGCAAAACTACAGCCTAGAGCTGAGGGCTCCTGTTCTTAGTGAAAAAGTAATATTGAAAACTTTAAAATCTCTTAATGCTGATAAAGGCGCAGGACCAGATGGCATCCCTCCTTTTTTCATAAAATCATGCGCGGAGGACCTTCTTCCAGCAATCTATCTAATTTACAATAAGTCCCTTCATACAGGAGTGTTTCCTAAAGAATGGAAATCTGCTAAGGTTGTACCCGTTCATAAAAGTGGCAGAGTAGATATGGTTGGTAATTATAGGCCTATATCTATTTTATCGACACTGGCAAAAGTTTTTGAATCGCTCCTTTGTCCGTTACTCCAAAATCACATAAAAACTTATCTGACCGATTCTCAGCATGGCTTTGTGAAATGTCGATCTACCGCCACAAATTTAACACTATTTACTGAAATAGTAGCTGAAGCCATGGATACTGGCAAAGAGGTAGACGTAATTTATACTGACTTCAGCAAGGCGTTTGACAGGGTTCCTCATGATATTCTCTTATATAAGCTCAAGGCTTATGGCATGGTGGGCCCCTTGCTGGAATGGTTTAATTCTTACCTAAGTAATCGAAGTTTCTACGTAGTTGTTAATGGATTCAGCTCCGCTCGATACTGTGTAACATCTGGCGTTCCGCAAGGCTCACATTTGGGTCCGCTATTGTTCACTATTTTTATCAACGACATATCCGAGTGCTTTCAACATTCTAGAGCTTTTATGTATGCCGATGACTTAAAGCTAGTTTCGAATTGTGAAACCGTTGATGATATGAAGTTGATACAGGGTGACATAAACCGGCTAGTCAAATGGAGTCAATTCAATGATTTGGATTTAAATATTGATAAATGTTACCACATGAAGTTCA